GGGGCTTCATTTTCCAAAGAGCCCACAGGCTGTGTGAGGTTTGGTCTGGGAGAAACTGGACCTGACCCACCAATGTGAGGGTTCACCATTTGGTGTTCCTGACATCAAAAATTGTTCACTAAATGGGTACCAGAGAAAAGTGAGTGACATTTGAGCTAATTTTTTATCACAATTATGCAAAATGAGTATCTTCAGTTTTGGGCCCCTCACTAGAAAAAGGTGCTGGCATGGGTCCAGAGTAAGGAAATGAAGATGGTGAAGGATGTAGAGAACCTGTCCTGTGAGGAATTACTGAGGGACCTGGGGGTGTTAAATGTGGAAAACAGTTTGGACCTGTCCATAAGGGTTCAACACATGTGGCTGAGCTTTCCTGCCTTGAAAAAAGCTCCTCTAGGTATCCTTCTTGCTGCTGGGTTTGGTGATGTCCTTCCCTGAAGAAAGCACTGGTGGGTTTGGGAAAATGTAAAATAATGGAACAGAATTATAAGCAGGGTCTGTAATGACAGAGCAAGGGGTTTAAACTGAAAAAAGACAGATTTGGACTAGATAAAATGAAGGAATTTTTCAATTAGGATGGTGAAACACTGTTACAGGTTGTCCAGAGTGGTGATGGATGCCTCATTTCTGGAAATGTTCAAGGCCAGGGTGGACAGGGCTTGGACCAACCTGACATAGTTGAAGATGTCCCTGCTCAAGGCAGGGGGTTGGACTAGATGCCCTTTTAAGACCCTCTCCAATCCAAATTATTCTATCATCCTACAATTGTATGGTTCCATGAAAAACCCTGTTTTTCTGGAGATGGTTATGTCTGGAGATGTAGTAGGAAACACAGATTTAATAGCAAACGTTATGGAAAGCTGGATTTTTAAGAGAAGAGTCTTGGTATTACTCACAAAGAAAATGTATAAAGTGCTCACCAAAGCAATGATTTTGTAAATCTATTAGCAGGTGGCTGTAAATTTCAAGACACCTGCAATGCAAATTAAAAGCTTTATCATTAATAATAAGCTTTTTAATAAAAAGTACTGATTTCTTAAATACACGTGAGAACATACAGAAGAAAAATATCAGGAGAAAAAAGAGCTGGTTTGGAGGAAAAAGTACCAAACATGTTCAAAAAGCTTGGATTTTACCAGAACTCAGAAATTTGCCTTTCTATGAGCTCAGCGAGCAGCAGAGGGCGCTGGGATAAACGGATTTCTTTTAAACTCCAGCCAACAATACGGATTTGCTGGGAGTTGGATACTGAGGGAGATAGTATTATTTATAGAGATCCATGCCAGATTTAAAAGGCAGAGCATGATTTAAAGCTCATTTCTGAAACAGGGCCTTGATTGGGGCAGGAAAAATTTTAAAAAAAACCAAACCCAAACAACAAACAATAATTCTGGAAAAAGCACATGAGATAAAGGTGGCATCATTTATTGAATTATTTTTTTTTCGAGTTCTCAACAAAATAAACATCCTGTTATTGTGGGTTCTCTCCCTTCCAGGGCTATCAACAGATATTTAATTGGGATAAGTAGGATATTCAGCCTCACTGTACTCTACTATTACTCACTATTATTCTACTAATACTCATGGTATTGAACATGGGGTATAGAAGATTTATTCTGATTTTAAGGTAGAGGTTGAAACACCGAATGTCCTGCTAATCAAAAATCAGTGTAAATAATAACCTGCAACTTTATCCTTAAGGAGGAAAGATTATATCAGCATCATTTTTAGCAGAGGAAATATTTGGGTGTTTGCAAATTCCCAAATATGGACCTGGACCTCTTGGATCAAGTACAGAGTGGAACACAAAGATGCTCTGAGGATTGGAGCAGACAGGCTGAGAGAAGAGAAGGCTCCAGGGACACCTTAGAGCCCCTTCCAGTGCCTAAAGGAGCTCCAGGAGATCCGGAGAAGGACTCAGGACAAGGGACTGGAGGGACAGGAGAGGATGGCTTTCAAAAGAAAGAGGGGAGAATCAGAATGGACATTGGGAGGAATTGTTCCCTGTGAGGCTGGTGAGGCCCTGGCACAGGGTGCCCAGGGAAGCCGTGGATGCCCCTGGATCTCTGGGAATGCCCGAGGCCAGGCTGGACAGGGTTCGGAGCAGCCTGGGACAGTGGAAGGTGTAGCAGGGGGGTGGATGGGGACGATCTTTGAGCTCCGTTCCGAGCCGGTGCCGCTGCGGGGAGCGAGTCCCCATCAGAGGGCGCCGCTGCCCCGCTCAACGCGCTCCGAGCTCCGCGGGCACCGGCGCGGGCAGCGGGGCTTCCTCCGCCCTGGGCACGGCCACCGAGAAAGATAGCCCCAACAAAAAACAAAATAATAATTTAAAAAATTATATATATATACATAACATATTCCTTTGCCATCGTACCTGCCAGGCTGAGGCTGCGGCGCCCAGCTCACCACTGAATAAAAACCCCGGTGTTTTCCTTGGAAAAGCGCGACACAAACTGCCGGGAAAGGACTGGTTTTCTGGTTTCCCCCCTTTGTTTGGTTTTTATTTTTACTTTTGAAAGTATAGGCTGTGGTGGTCAGTTTGGGGTATGCGTGTCGCCTTTTGGACGCAGGGTTCATTGCACGTGTGAGGGGTAAATCGGTGCAAGTGTTGCTGCGTGGGATTGCTGAATTAAACTGGGGGCAGCTGCGGGAGTGGGGGTGAAAAACAAGCGCAAAAATGAAATGTGAAGGACCTTACTTTTCCAAATGAACGCCTGTTTGTTTGTCATGCTTTGCAAAGGTCAGATAAATGTAATAATAGTGGGGTTTAAAAGTCAGAATTTACTGTCTATACCAATATATTAGCAAGGAGACAGTGGACGTCAAGTCTATTTTAGAGTCTTCTTTTTTTCACTCCCCTCCTCTCCCCTCCCCCAGCCCGCAGAACGTATTTAATTCAGGGTGCCACGGAATTGTGGAGCATTAGCCGTCACGAAGCTCATTCACTCTGCCCTGTGCCAGCCTTCATGACTCAAAGACTTCCACAAAAGTGATGGCAAACTGTCCCTTTATGAGCTTGGCATTTTTCTAAGAGGGTCATTCAGATCTATAGGTGCGTTAGGTTGGCTGCATGGGTATCTCCGCACATCCCCATGCAAACAGCTCACATCCTTTTTCCTTTTTCAGCATTTTTTTACCCTATTGCCTCAGTTGAAATGATCGGTCCAACCCACTCAAAGATGTGCTCTTTTTCTGCTCCTCCTCAGCGCAGCACTGGCTGTGCTGAGAACAAAACCTCGTATCTGCTTTAATAACTTCTAGCAACAGCGTTGTCCAGCTCCTGCTGTAATATCTGGCTGCTATTTGCCTCTTGCCTTTTGTGGGCTGAGGCTTTAGGAGAAGATGCACACTGCGAAATGGGGAGGGGTGGCAGGGTGGTGTAGAGACTGAGGGGGAAAAGGATGAATTTATACTTTCTGCCTTAATTTGAGGCCAAAGCGAAGAGAAAAAGCAAAGCCCACCCTTCCCACCAGCCAACCACACACCAGCAAATGTGTCTCCTGATAAAGTTCTCCTCGTTTCCGAGATTATATATATGTATATATAAAAGCATCTTTACCTGTAGGACCTTTGAAAGTACAAAGGACACTGTGCACTTTCCCATAGGATCCCGTGCAGAACAACAAAGATTTGTAGGAACCTTATAGGTAGAGCTTGAAATTTCCAGAGACAGGACCTTGAATTTAGAAACACCTTCTTTCTCTCTGTCTCTCTGCCTCTGTGCCTCATTTTTTTCCCCATCTTTTTTCCCCTCCTGGTGCACCAGCCCACTGCAAAGCTCGATTGTTTCCTTTCAAAGGCAGAGATGGGCTCTGCTGCCTGTGTCGGCTCTTTGCCGCTCAACGTGTTAAAAAAATCGGACAATGCGAAGGAAGGTTTGCCTGGGGGAAAAAAAAAAATAAAGGTTAAAACTGGTCTAACTCCTCCTATCCCCTTCCAAACCGAGGGCTACCTGGGAAATGCACAAATCCAACTCTATTTTTAATCGTTTTCTGAAAGTGCTAAACACTATTCAAATGTGTGCACAGAAGGGTTTGCAAAACTCCTATTTTTTCCCTTTATTTTTTCCCCACATTGAGTATTTCTAAGTTATAAAATATACAGTCCAAGCCTGAAGTCTAAGGCTTTCCAGTGGAAATCATTGATCTAAATTTGCTCCTTTTAGATTTGCTTGAATGTGCTTTGATGAGACGCTGTTTTGGTGTTTAACTGCATATGAGAGGATAATTTCTGGACATGTAAATAAAAGCATATTGCATGTGGGGAAAAGCATCATATCTCGTTGTAAATGATGAATCACTTAGTGCAGAGGCAACTTATCCTTTATTTTATCATAGGGAGGATTGAAAAAATAATAATTTAATTTCATCTATCTATCTATCTATCTATCTATGCGTCCATCCAACCATCTACTAAAATAGCAGATATATGCACTGCATAATGTGTGTATTTAATCCTCTATACCAACATATATATGTGTAAATGTATAACTAGATTCACATATATGCATTTAAACACACTCCTATATAAACTAACCAGGTTAGCGTGCACATGTGCATATGTAACATGCAGTCTCCATGTGCCCACATGTGGAAGAATATATATAATTTACATATCTAAATGTGGCAACTAATATGTCTATACATGGGGAAAAGTTGCCTGTTCAGAGATATACGTGTGTGTGGGTGCATGTATGTGTAAATCTGTGATGGTGCAGCTCTGTGTGTGTATATATTTTATATGCCTGCATATAAGTCTCTATATGTGTGTATATGTCTATATCTAGTCACATATATGTCCGTAGCTATATGTAACTGTGTAACAGATAATGTTTTTTACTATCCCATTGAGGTAGGCTTCTGCAGCCTATTGTTTCAGACAACAGATATAAGTTGCGATGGAAGAGGAACGTCGGATTTGGTGTCTGTCCCCCATTTCCAATTATAGATGGATCATTACAGACAGAGAAGTACTGAGAATCCAGACATCTGCTCTTCACATGAATGCACTCACCTCCTAGAGAACAGCCTGCCATCATGCTCTGGAAACTGGTTGAAAATGTCAAGTATGAAGATATCTATGAGGTGAGTATATAATATGCATATGAGTAAGAGAGTATATGTATATTTAAATATACATCTAGCATATAGATACAGGCATGGCTATAAAATGCATATATAGCTCTACATATACATCCAGGCAGAAATAGAGACATACAGCAGCACACACGAATGTAGAGATGGGAAACAGAGAGTAAATGCTTAAATGCTTATTTATTTGCATATTTGTATTCAGCATGCCAAGTCCTAAACTTTTTATTTTTTTTTTTCGTGGAAAAGCTGTTTGATGCGATTTAAAACATCAAAGAAATGATCTGGGGATTGGAATGAGGCAACTTAAAGGCAAGAGTTTGATTGTTTAGACCTCCAATTATATATAATTCGATTAAATATGGACAAATATTGAGGAAAATTTTTAAACGAGAGAAAAAATAGAAAAGAAACACAATCCGGTATTCAGGGACTGGATGAATTTCTTTCTTTTATTTTTTATTTTGCACTTCCAAGCTCAGATCAACCCGAATATGGATTTTTTTTTTTTTACTATTGTTTTTTTCCTGTTTTCACCATCGGATATGTTTTTTACGGCTTTTTAATACCTCTGCACCCACAGATAAGATGTGCATGTGTACATATACTGGCATTAATTAAGCGGCACATACATTCTTGTGCGTGTGTGAGTTCACACGCCCGAACCGATACAGTCAGAGGCAGCTCCGCATAGTCCGCGGACTGGAAAAGTTGTGAGCTTTATCCAGACCTTATTTTCGAGGTTAAAAAGCAAACCAAGGGGGGAGGAAAAAAAAATCACAGCTCAAACACTGCGAAACCTTTCTTAATTTTGCACGGTTTCCTGAGCCGGATCTTTCCTAAACGGGCTCCGCGAGTGTGCTCCTTGTAAGTTAAACCGGCGTGCGGGATTTTCTCAGAAACGAGGGGAAAAAAAGAAAAAAAGAAAAATCTGAAAAGATGAGCGAGGATGGCGCTCCACAAAAACAATATTCTAATTTTTTTCCATTGTTTTTATTTTTTAATTGAGTGGGAGGCGTTTTCACGGCGATCATGGGGGGAGCTTTTCAGAAGGGCGCAATCCGCCACCTCCAGCACCGGAGCTGCTCCGAGGGGAGGCGGCCGGGCAGGGACCGGGGACCGGGGACAGGGAAGGGACCGGGGGCAGGACAAGGGCCGGGATGGACTGGGCGCTGAGCAGGGAGCGAGGATCGACCAGGGGCTGGACAGGGACGTGGCAGGGTCTGGGAAGGGGCTGGGGATCCAGCAGGGATCAGCGACGGAGCAGGAACCGGGGATTGAGCAGAGGCCGGGAAAGGACTGGGCACTGAGCAGGGACCGGAGACAGGGCAGGGGCTGGAACCGGACAGGAGCCGGGCTGGGGACCGGACAGGAGCCAGGGAGGGACCGGACAGGAGCCGGGGAGGGACCGGGCAGCCACCGGGGACCGGCAAGCAGCGGGCAGGGGCTGGGTACCAAGCAGGGAAGGGATTCCGAGCCAGGGGCTGGCTGCTGGGCAGGGGCCGGGGATCGGGCAGCGGACGAATACTGGGGAGCGGTCGGGCAGGAGCCGGGCAGGGCTGGGATCGGGAAGCGGCCGGAGCCCCCCGGGAAGCGCCGTCGGGGCCGCCCCGTCCCCAGCCCCGCCGCAGCTCCCCTCCGGGAGAGCCTTGGCACTTACAGAGGGGAAACTCCCGGGAAAAGCGCAGGAAGAGACCGAGGGAAGGTACAGCTCCGGCTGGTCCCGGCCGGAGAAAGGACGGGATGGAGGGAAGCGGGGAGGGGACGCGCCGGGAGAAATGTCTCACTCCTAAAAGCTGCTGTCAGGCTAATTACCATCGGCAAAAGCCAGCATTTGCAGAAGGAGCAGAGAATGAGCACACACGTGTGTCTGTGTGTGTCTGTGTGTCTGTGTGTGTGTGTGCGTGTCCCTGGGTGTCCCCAGCCCGCTGAGCCCTCGCTGCTTTTCCCTCGCCGTCTCCCGGCACAGCCCGGCCATTGTCTCTCCCGCAGCAGCAGGCGACAGAACATCTCCCGTCCCCGCTGCCGTGGGACGGGGCTTTTTTCCCACCCTGCTTTTGATGGGGGGGCCTTAAGGCGCTGTGGATTTACGGACACACACACACGTTTGTAGGTTGCCGTGGGAGAGAAGAGCTGGGGGAGCGGTCGGGTGGGATTTGGCCGCGGGCGAGGTGGATCCTAACTTAGGGATGCACTCCAGGGCATTTTGTAACGCCTAGCCTCGCCAAAAAAAAAAAAAAAAGAAAAAAAAATTGTTGTCCTTTTTTATTTTTTTTAAGGCCTTAAGCCCTCTAGATTTATGTTAAAAATATTTCTCTCTCTCTTCTTTCCGATGTATAATTAACAACACGATGGTAGAGGCGTCTCAGCCACTTAAACTGAATCTGTTCTTAAAACAAAAGTGTGTGTGTGTGTGTGTGTGTGTGTGCGTGTGCGTGCAGGGGGGGCAGCTCTGGGAAGTGCGAGTCTATTTAGGAAGGAACGTAAGTTGAACTTTAACAGAAATGGCAGACAGTCCAGTTGAACGGGTTCCTGCAACATCAAAAAGGTTTTATATCGCCCCTGGCTTTGCCTCAAAACTATAAATTTACTATCCTTTAAAATTCACTCCATGCATTTCACATTTGGGTGGAAATCGGGAGATCTGTGTACATATATATTATTTTTTTCATATGAGGCAGTAGAAAGATGATTCAGACAAAAAAAAAAAAAAAAGTGGAGCCCAACAATGCAGATTCAAGTATTTATTTGGCTATTGCGAATAAATATGATTTGTAACACGCACCAGAAAGTCTTAATCTTCACTGTAAATAGACATATGTTAGAGTGACTGCACATTTCTTCTTCCATTCCTTTAAAAATTACCAAAAAAAAAGAAAAAAAGAAAAGCCTCTTTTTTCTTCATTATTTGCTTAAAAACCCCAACACCAAATTGCGAGAACAAAAGCACCAAAGGCAATCAATTCCTCGTATTAGGAATTTAAAATTAAATATATATTAAAATGAAAAAGAAATATACTTTTCTCCTCCTCCTCCTCCTCTTCTTCTTCTTCTTCTTCTTCTCCTCCGCCTCAAGCATTGCTTCATCTCGCTTCCTTGCTCCAGCTCAGCAGTCTCCACTTTCCGCATCTTCCTCCACTCGAGTTAATTGAAGTTCTGCCTCTTCCTCGCTAAACTTTTTCCCCCCTCTCCCTCTCCCCAAACTCTGCCTCTGCCAGCCCCCTTCGTCTGATTACATCTAGTAATTCTCCACTGAATGAACGTCATTTACAATAGTAGGGGAGCTCTCGAGCTGGCTGCCAGCTTCACGCTCCATTTGGTCCTGCATTCTCCCTTTAAAGTAGTCGTGTAATATTAATAGTCATGAATATCAATTATTATGAGGCGGTGTAGAGAAGGAAAGGGAGGAAGGGGTAGCGGAGCAGTCTGAGCCTAGCCTTGGGTTGAAGAGGATTGTATTTGGGAGCTCAAAGGCAAAAAAAAAAAAAAAAAAAAACCAACAAAAAACCAAAACCAACAAAAACCAAAAACAAAAAAAAAAAAAAGGAGGAAAAAAACCCCGAGAGGGAGGGGTAAATCATATATGTAGATAGAGGTTTCCAGGCTCGGTTTTGGGGGCACTGGTCTTTTTTTTTTTTTTCTTTTTTTTTTTTAACCTTTTTTTTTTGATGGATAGACTTCGAAATATCTCAAGCTGTTCTCCTGTGTCCAACACGTCCCTTTGCAGATCTCCTTGATATTTTTTCCCTCCAATTGTTAGTATTATCACCATTATTTTATTTTTAGCTATTACAAGACTTTTTTTATTTCCAGATGTTAGTCCACACCTATTCCGCCATGGTGAGTTTGGATCCATGTTGTACTAGAATTGCATGTTCTCTCTCTCTCTCTCGATCTGTTGTGTCTCTCTCTCCCTCTCTCTGTCTTTTTAAACGCCTTTGGCTTGGTAATTTAGCACAATAATTGGAGGAGGCTTGCAGCTGCTTCTCCCTTTTTGCATTGTGTGTTCCCGATTTGAGCTAGGGGAGTCTGGGGGGGAGAGCAGGGGGAAAAAGAACTTTTTTTCCTTGTTGTTTTTCTTTTTTTTTTTTTTTTTTTAAGCCATGTGTGCCATTGCTTGTGGGGGTTTGAACTACACTTTGTGGAATAGATATTTTTCTTGTTTACTTTAACCTCGCAGCTTCAGTGCGTTGGAGTTGGACAAAACTCCTCTCCCACCTTTTCTCTGAAGCCTCTACACACTCCCCCCACCCCCTGTCCCCCCCACACACCCCAAAGACTTTTCATTACAATTAACCCCCACCCCATTCTCCGGAATATAATATTGGAAAAGGAAACAAAAGACACTGGAAGTTGCTGCAGAAATCATAGCGTCTGGATGTTCAATACCGATGTTTCATTTTTATTTCATTTTATTTTTTTAAAAAAAATTATTTTTAAGGGGTAGACTGTCTTTCAGCAAAGATTCCCTGTAATTTTTATTTTGTCTTTCTTTTTAATTTTTTTCTTTTCCTTTTTTTTTTTTTTCTTTTTCCCAAGTCCATTTTCACTCAACTTCTCACCTCGGAGTCTTCCGAGAAGTGCAACTTTCTTTTTGGGCTTTTCCACGTGAAAATGGGTTGGTGATTTTGAGTTACAGGACTTGAGCAGAGGGAATAAACAGATGTTGGGAAACTTTAGGCAGGAGAAGGGGTGGGTTGTCTGGATAGACGGGTGGTTTGGTGCTCTTAATTTTTTAATGTTTTCTTTTTTTCCGCTTTGGTTTGATTTGAGGGGGCTGTGGATTGGGAATTATACTACTGGTCTGAAATTGCAGATCGTACATGTATTTGGAGCACTAGTCCTACATTTTTAATTATGACATTTAGCAATTCTCCCTCACACCCCCTCCCCTTCCCCCTCCTTGATAGTTCCTGGGAATAGGCACGACGTGGGTGCAAAACATTGGAACATTTCTAATAAGTGGAGGGAGAAGGGGGCACATCTGAATCCCACTTTCCAGCTGTTTGCATCCTATTTTATTTTATTTAACTCCGGGGTGGGTTTGTGCTCCTTTTGATTTTTCGTGGCGGTTTTTGGTAGTTTTTTTTGGTTGAGTATTTTTTTTCCTAAAAAAAGTCCTCTTTTTTTGTCGTTGTCGTTTGTGTGTCGTTCCGCTTGTAGGACCGGCATGATGGAGTGCCCAGCCACAGTTCCAGGCTGTCCCAGCTGGGATCCGTCTCGCAGGGACCCTACTCCAGCGCTCCTCCGCTCTCTCACACCCCATCCTCGGATTTCCAGCCGCCTTATTTCCCACCCCCCTACCAGCCTCTTCCTTACCACCAAAGCCAGGACCCTTACTCCCATGTCAATGACCCCTACTCCCTAAACCCCCTGCATCAGCCCCAGCAGCACCCCTGGGGACAGAGGCAGAGGCAAGAGGTGGGATCAGAAACCGGGTCACTGCTGCCACAGCCTCGGGCCGCCCTGCCCCAGCTCTCGGGACTGGACCCCAGGCGGGACTACCACTCAGTACGGAGGCCAGATGTCCTCCTGCACTCAGCTCACCATGGCCTTGACTCCGGCATGGGGGACAGCCTTTCCCTGCACGGCATCGGACACCCAGGCATGGAGGAGGTCCAGGTAAGGCACCGCGTTTCTTTCTCCTGGGCAGTGCAGCTGGAGCCCCCGTCCCCTGGGCTGGGAATGGCCACTGAGGGATTTCCAGCAATATTGTTGTGGGTTGCCATTCTTTTTCCACACCGGTTTTGTAACTGTGGTACTCCCCCTCCCTCTTCCTTTATTTTTCTATTTTTTTTTTTTTAATAAGAGAATGTATTTCCTCGCTGTCACGCACAGGCTCTGCTTTATAAACCCTCCCCTACATGGCAAAGCAGCAAAGTGCAGGGGGAAGGCAGACATGCTGCTCGAAATATTCCACGTGTTTCAAAAGCTGGCAGAGTTCAAGCTTGGCTTTTCAAATTCCAGTTATTTCCCATGCAATCTCATCTTCCACTCCCCTCCACCCTCCCCCTCCTCCCCCCAACCAATTTCCTGCCGTTCAGAGATTTTGATGAAACTGTCGAATTACTACATTTTTCATCCGGGAGAGAGGGAAATTATAAACCAAACCCAAATCAAAAGCAATAACTGGTGATCAGGAACAAGTCCCTTGTCCGTCCCCCCACCCCCTTATTTGTTAAGTGTGCTTTGGTAAGGTAGCGCTGATTTTAAATAGTTTCATTCCCTCTTTTGGATAACAAAGGAGTTTCGCCGGGCTCAAAGCACAGTATTTCCCAGCTTTCTTCCATCCCACGCGAAACTCATCATCACGTGTTATTCCCTAAAAACAGAAGGACCCTTAACAGCTTCGCTGCTGGGACGGTCTGCACCTTGCTGGAGCAGGGCATGGCCAGCCCGTGGGGACCCCCGAGGCGGGGGCTGGGGCCTCCAGGGTCCAAATCCTGCCTCAGGCTCTCCTAATCGGGATTTTTGGGGTTCCCCTCCATGCGTTTTTATATTTTTTCCCCCCAGATTTCTTTATCATATATCAAATCTGTATATGCATTTAGTCTTGAGATAGATGAAGGTATGGACCACCGAATGAAATAACGACTTCAAAGTTACAGAAAGGGGAAAAGAAAAGGGAAAAGAGGAGCCGGGAAGATAAAAAATAGCCGTGAAAAAGGGATGCTGCTGAACATAAGAGGAAAGAGCGGCAGGGAAGCGGAGGGGATGCATTGCTTTGGCTTGAGACTTGTCTTAGGGCTGCACGGGAAAATCCCCGAGCTTTTCTGGGGTGAAATGTTTTAGAAAAAGAAAGGTTTTGCTGTTTGGATCTGCTCCTGCCTCCGAGCTCAGTGACCGTCGGGTCGCTGCTTTCTGCGGGTTTCCGAGGTGGCTTTGAGACCTGGGGGCAGCCCCCGGCCGCCGCGGGTGCGATGCGCAGGTCTCGTCTCGCATTCCTGGCTCAGACAAAGTGGTTTGCAAGTCAAGGCGAGTTTTACCTCTGTGAATGCAGAAAGCAGATCGCTCTCCTCCTTTCTCTCTGCAGCCGATAGGCGTTAGGGACTGTTTGTGCCTGGATATTTACACTTTCCCCAAAGAAGAGCCGGTAATTGTTGTGCTTTTGTGAGAAGGAGAGTAAAACAGAGAGGGGAGGAAAGGAAAGAGATAAAATGAGAAGAAAAAGATAAAATGCAGAAAGGACGAAAGAAGAGAGGAAAAGAAGAGAAGATAGTGAAGAGAGGGAAAGGAGGGGAAAAGAAAGGGAAAGAAAGAAAGACGTAAAGAAGAGAAGGGAGAGAAGAAATAATAGGAAAGAAGGAGCTCAAATAAAGCAGTTCCCCATCCGTTTCCCAATAAAACATCCCTTCTGCGGGAAGGGCACTGCACTGGCAGAAAGTGCCTCCCCTCGATGCTCTGGGGGCATCGGGGCCACCCGCGGCTGCTGCCCGGGGCTGGCGGGGCCAGGATGGGTGCAGTGGGATGGGGATGCGATGGGACAGGCGAGGCTGCAGGGCTGGGGTTTGGGTTTGGGGTACTGAGACAGCAGGAAATGAAACCGGCCCTTCATTTCTGAAAGTTTGTTCCCAGGCTGGGGGAGGAGGGGAAGAGGGAGAGGAGGGTATCCCAAGGAGAAACACGTGAAGGAAGAGGTGTCCAACTGCAAGTTAACGCAGGCAGGAGGGAAAGCAGCCCAAAACTCACTGCTGCCACTCAGCATTTTCTATTCTTGTCCTACCACTAGTGACAGATGAAGTTGGGCAGTTTTCCATCTTGATATTTAACATGGATTTATTCTAGATTCGGGGAACCTTTTCTAGCAACAGGAATTTTTATCCAGGCAATGTATGCACATTATCCACCATCACTGGATATAATTTTCAGGAAAGGTTTCAGATACTGGAGTTTTTATCTTACTTCAGTTGTCCAAAAAGTTGAACGGATATCTAGATGAACAGTTGGATAAAGATGTTTCTCTTTGCTGTAGCTTATGCATGTCTGATCAAATATGTGCCATGAGAATGGGCTGGGCTGAGGAGAAGGAGGCAGAGAAAGAGAGTGCGTGACAGAAAGAAGCAGTGGTTATTTTATAAACACCAAATCCAGTCCATGTGTGAGCCATTGTCCAGGGCTAGAATTAAGTGATTGTAACACGATAGCGCTCTGTTATTGTAAACAGGACACTCTGTATTGCTATTGCTGCCCCTCTCGAGAGGAATTTTCAGTCCGCGATTTACAACCTTCAGACAGGGAACAGAGAAGCCAAGACCTCCTTATTGAACAAAAATTTGCATCATCTAATAAGGACTCTGAAAAAAAATCCACCTTTGCACTCACAGATATTTTTCCCACCGGCTGGGTTAAAGTAGGATTACAGTAATAAAGGATTCGATGGAGAAAAAATGGAGGGGGAAATTCAGGCTCTGTAAACTCTTTGAAGGAAAATATAGAGCTCAGTTTTTAAGATTTTCACTCAGATGTATCCGCAGAAGTTGAACAAGGTGGTTATAGGTAGTACTTAGGAAGCTTCACGCTATCAGATTATTGGAGGAGGGAAGGGAGGGGAATCTTCCTCTCCAGATTTTCCAAGTATATCTGGAAACTCATCACCTTTCCCCTCCCTGCACACACACCTCCGCTCCTCCTCCTCCTCCTCCTCACTCACGCTGCTACTACGTACTAGCTAGAGACACGGAAAGTTAAGTTGCACCAAAACACCCAAGTCTCTTATAAAGTAACCCCTGGTATCACTTTTAACTAAAGAAGTCTAGTAATTAAAAGTCTGAGTTGTTTTTCCACGTTTCCGCATGCAGTCCTAATTAAATCTTTACGATCCTCTCTGTGACTATTAACTGCCAGCATGCTGAGCGAATATCCTGTACAAAAACCCAGCAGGAGGGCGTAATTAGATAGAAAATCAGACAGGAGTCTTCTCATTAACTACAACAACTAACCCACGTTGCTGATGGAGCGAGCTGAGCGCACGCACACGCATAAAGGGTGCGCGCCACCATCGACTCTAGAGATAAGGTGAGATTAGGAGGAAAGATAGGGGGGGAAAAAAGAAGAAAAAAGAAAAAAGAAAAAGGGAAGGTGGTGTTTCACGTTTACCTCGGTTTCTGTGCCATCGAGGTGCGCCAAGCTGCGCTCCAGCAGGCTGCAGGATTTGCTCATCATCCCTCGTTGGGAGCTGCTCAGGGAAAGGAGGGAAGACTTTGTAATTTTATTTTGTGCCCTTTAGGTATGTAGCCTATTGATTATGAGAGAGAGAGACACAGCCATGCCCAAACACAGCACATAAGGCACAGCTCTGTTTGTGCACTCGTTTGAGGGTGGATTCAAGGTAAATGAAGGGAAAGCTCTCATAGAAAATATTGTTCCATCGTATTTTGGGGAGATGTAATTTTCTCCTAAACCACATTCCATCTGGAATGTCTCCGCAGAGCACAGAGACGGAGATAAGGGCCAGATCCGAATAAGCTCAGCTTCTCGGCAAAGCAAAGATAAAGTTAAAGTCATGGTGAAGTGATTCATTGCTTTGCTGGAAAGGTGCTTTGCTTATCAAGGAAAAACGTGACAACTCCCCAAATATGCAATAACACTGAAAAACCCAAACTCTTTAGTAATAGCAATGGGAAAAATAAAATAATAAAGCAAATAAACCCAAAGGTCCCCCTTTACCTCAGAATTTACCCTAAAACGGAACCTGTCAGGATTCTGCTATAAATTGTTCTCATGACACCACTTCGTTTTCGGACATGGTTTTACTGTGCTGAACACAGGCTTAGCAGTATTTTTGGTTTGTTTGGGGAGGTTTTGTATATCCCACTTTCGTGTTGAGAAATGAAACCCCACATTTGCTGTGTCCTCTGTGCCCGTCTTTGTTCTCTTCCCTGCTAAAGAAGTTAATGCCATAATAACAGGTGTGCTCCTCGGCAGGCTGGAAAGAAAGGGGGGAAAATGGGGAAACAAGGCTTTGAAATTCGGAGACTTTTTTTTTTTCCTAGGCAATCAATTTGATGGTTCATACTTTTGATAATGTGTATTCCTGCTCCTCCCTCCCCGTCCCCACTAATTCAGGACATGGAAGCAACGTCGGGAGCTGTAAATCTCTTTCTGCTCGTCCCCTGTACGATGTGGGCGTTGCACAGCGCTCCGAAAGGCTCAGGCTTTAATTAAAAGTCCATAATGTAAACTATGATATATAAAAAGTAAATGGCCCTTGAATTAGTAAGATGTAGCAGGGTTAAACGAACAAACAAACAAACAACGACAAAAAAAAAAAAAAAAAAAAAAGGAGGAGGGGGAGGAAAGGGGAGGGAGCATTTAAGTTGTCCTTAATCGTATTCATTTATGTCATGCAATAGATCTTGCAGATGTTGCCAAATTGCCACATTTTCAAAGGAAGAAATGTAAAGCTTTATGGAATGCAAAGAAGTCTATGTGATATCTATGTTTTATAAGATAACAAAACCAGTATTGCACCCCATATGCTTCACACCTCCTTTTGTTTTATTAGAAGACTATATAATTTGTAAGAATTTAATTTCCTTGTCGATTGGGGGAAATAATAATAACAACAACAATAATAATAATAATAATAATAACAATAAAAAAATCCCTCCTCCTCTAGTGAATTAATATAAATGGAAATAACAGGGACTCCAGTTTGGAATGACATGATTTATGTACGTGATTCTTTAATATCCAGTCAATTTGAATAGTGATGTTTTTATATCCACAGTCAGTTGAAGATGCCAATAACAGCGGTATGAACTTATTGGACCAGTCTGTCATTAAAAAAGGTATGGATTATTCCAACAAGCTAGACAAACTTTTACTGTGTAGCGATATCTTCATGATATATTTTGACTTTGGGGCAATGAATTTCTCCGGGAAGCAGGCACCCATGGCAGCAAGATGAATAGCGGATTGGATCAGCAGATAGAGTGAAGGGATAAGACATGAGAAAGGAAAAGTTTATATATCCCCGCCTCCCCAGCCCTTCAAAGGGTTTAATTACACGAATCCTCTCTAATGGGGCACCCCGTGCTCCAACGCGGTTTCCACCGCCCCCCTTCCCTCCCCTTCTCCCCCCGATTCTCTTCGGTGGGGACCCCTTGGCTTTTAATGGGGGAAGGGGTTGATTCCCTTTGGGGCTTAAATGCATTTCCCAGGCGAATCAAACGCGGAGAGGAGAGAGAGAGATGCCCATGGAAAGGCAGACTCAGCCCTACGAGATTCCCCCCTTCCCCCAAGATTCCCCCCTTCCCCGTGCCCATTTTTTACATCTTTCTACATATGCGCCCATGATTTAGTGCAACTGCAGAATCACCCCATACTGTTAAAGCGAATGTGATATTAACAAATGTTTGCAGTCTCTTGTACAGCTGTAAGCAAAATAATTAACTAATTAAACTAATTAAATGTAATTACAATAACTCATTTTGGGCGTATTGCAGCTGCTTAATTTTTTTACATTTCTCTGACAGTCACTCGAAGATGCTTGGCGATTAGTGTTGTGTTATGCTGATAGACATTAAACAGATCACACGCTGCAAATGGAGGGAAAGCTATCTTTAATTATCTAAGGAGTTTCTATTTCTAGATTCAATTTTAAGTAGCAGAGATGAGGTTTAAAAACGCTGTCCCTTATGCTTACTATCAACGGCACTTATCTCCAGGACCTTGTTATTTGTCAAATGCGCACAAATAGTTTAACAGCGACGATTTTCTAGGATGTAAAGCAAAATAACAGGGAGGGTGTTTATGTAAAATGTGTTGAAGGCAGCATGAGGTCTTTCCGTGTGTTTATTGTTTGTTTTGTTGTTGGTTGTTTGGGTTTTTTTTTGTTGTTGTATTTTTTTTTAATTTAAATACCCATGTACGTCTCTCACACACAAGATCAAGGTCTGGTTATTTGAGTAAGGACTAATGAAAACTTGAAGACCATTTGACAGCACCATTTATGACTATTGGTCGAAAGGTCGAAGGGTTTGGTGGTTTTTTATTAAGAAATAGAAAGTTACTTAACTTTAAAAGGAAAAAAAAAAAAAGGGTTGCATGTTTCTGCTTTTTTGGTTCAGTTTGAATGTTTCGTGGTGTTTATACTCAAGGTCTGTAACCTGACGGTTTCTGGTTGTATTTTTAACTTTTTTTTTTTTTCCTCACTCTCCTCCCTCTTCCCCACCCCCACCTGACACCTCATACACTCCCTCTTGGGTGCCTTTGATTAATTGGCACTTGATTTGTGGTCGAGAGACTCCTTGCTAAGGTTGTTCCATGATGGTCTTTTGCAGAATACACAATCCAAAATACTCTATTTTTTTCTTTTCTTTTTTTTTTCTTTTTTTTTTTTTTCCCTTTAACCCGCAGCCCGCCTGTGTCTCTCCCTCCTTCAGCTGACGAGGACAGCGCAGACATTCCATGTGCGTGCTGGGTGGTGCAATTAGACAGCGAGTAGCACTAGAATGTCAATGCCTGCAATTATTACGTATTAGGTAGAGGTTTTTATATGCATTAGGCATATATTTAGGTGCGCTTGGTGTGTGTGGGCATTGCAACGGCCCCAGATGGAGCAGCTGCTGCCCGAAGAGACCCAGTCCCATCTAGGTGGGATTACTTGTGCCTATTTGCAGCCAGAAGAGATACTCTGAGTTAACACATGATGAACAGGAGACACATGCTCTTTGGAAATAAGGTTACTAAGAAAGAGCCCGAGATGCATTTGCAACTCTTTAAAAGTCACTGCAGCAGCAGCATTTTCTTCCTTAGAAGTAAGGCTGAGATCCAAGAAACTTTCCAGCATAAAGGAATATTGTATTATTCTTTCATTCCTTTTTTTTTTTTTTTTTTTTTTTTTTTTTAATTTTTGGCTTTTTGCACAGCGAGTTTCCTGGGTGCAGAGGAAGAGAAATGGGTAATAAATAGCAGGTCACATTTGTGGCAGTCAATATTTAATCAGGACGGGGGAAAGAGCAGCACAGCATTCAGTATCAATTTCGCTTTGTTCCCTGCAGTTTGTAGCTGTGAGGGTGTGCTTTGAAACAAGAACAAGTTATTTAAACTCTGCGAGTCGTTCTTGCGGGCAGATGGCACGGATAGATGGACAGACACACAGGTATTGACAGATTTTTGTGCAGTGGAGCACTCCTGTGGCTCATATTCTGTAGAAGAGGATTGCAGGGGGTCTGCTCCACCCAATCCTCGCTCAGTGCCTAAAATTCTTTCATTGCAAAGTACTGGGAAAAGTATGATGGGGATTTGAAGCCTAAACTTAATTATATCACCCAGGCTGTGTCTGTTCCTTTATGGCCTCTGAGGCCTGCAGAGGGAATTATGTCTCTATGCAAAAGGTTTGCCAAAATATTAAGGAAATTATATCGGGATTCATACACGGCTATTGATTTATCTCACGTATCGATCCCACACAACAGCTTACATATACCCAGGCTCTTGTTATGTTTGCTATCCGAGCTTACTTGACATTTCTGAAGTAATTTAGTTAAGAGGAAATGAGTTGTTCCCAGTAGAGAGAGCAAACGAGTGGAGTGAAGGTAGCCAGCGTGATAAATGGCTCTTTCATTTGGAGATCTCCAGAGCTCGTTTAAGGCTAATTTTCTGTATTAGCCCCCTTTGAGCTATTAATGCAATAGGCAGGGACCGTGGCCCCTTGTCTCTTAGCTGCCCCATTAGAGCGAGCATTAAGCTACCAAGCCTGAACTCCGCCGTGGTGGTGGTGGCGCTGAAATAATGAAAGGTGCTTTTTAAACTCCCCTAATCTAAACTGGCAGAGGGTGGTTAATACGATTTGAAGGGGGCTGGTCAATGAACAATCAATAAACTAATAATGAGAAGGATGCGGTACATTAACAGCCTAAAAATCCAACGAGACATTAAAAAATCATCTTTAACTCCCACTTCCATTAAGATTTGGGTGGTGGAAGTGGGAGGGAGGGAACCAGATAAATCATCAAGATGATAATAATCACCAAGAACATTAATATCAGATTCAAGTCAGCTTTCAGAGCTTACCGGCTGCACGTTTTGAGGCCTTTCTCTCGAATTTTGCTGAAATGAAGAGAAGTATTGCCATGTGTCAGGAATAAAAGATCGGGTCCCCTTGTCAAATGCTCATCTGAAATTTCCTTGGCACTCTCTATGGTGAAAGAAGTTGTCTTCCTGCAAAACCTTACATGGCCTGAGTCCCAAGTTAATTTTTTGTGACTCTGGGGCACAGTCAGTGACCTTAAAATTATTCTGATGTATTTATTTACTTTCAGCTGTTTCTGACGATCGTCTGCACACTCTCATCTGATTTAGCATGAAAGGCCATTTTAACTTGAAGACCTTAGTTCATGGTCTTGCAATCACGCTCCGTTGTTCCTCCCATTTTAAGGAAACACATGAAAGAAGGCGTCTTAACCTTTTGTTTTTAGCTGTTAATAATCCAGCACGAGTTTCCTGCCCACCCCTCGGACCAGCTGATCAATGATTAACTGAGAACCACTCTGGCCTCAGTTTTCAGGTGATAGATGTGGGGCCCAGGAGATGCTGCTTCAATGCCGCTCGGTTTCGTGCTTATTCCCGGGTTACCCACTGAACCTGAGGATCCCCTTTAATCAAATGCAAAACAGTTTCGAGGGAATACATTCCACCTTGAAATTCAGCCCCAGCTTTCGGTGGGGGAGAGGGGCTGGAGGAAAGCAGGGGACGAGGGGGACAGAAGGAAATGCGAGATGAACGCGCACTTTTTGTGTGTGTTCCTTAAAAATTAAGATAAGATCCGGGTCTCTTCAGTTTCAGCATCTGAGGCGCTGCTCCCGGACGTTTTAGGCTTGGCTCCTGAGTCAGACCGAATCACCACTTACAGCAAAGTCCTGTTGTTAGCAGGGATAAAGAACTTCTTACTCATTTAAAGCCCAGGCAGACTAAAAATTTTGAAAGTAGTTTGATAGTTTATTAGTAATTAGGTTACCCACGACGTTTTTTGGTAAGAAACACGAGAAATATTTCTTCTGATTGATAATTTAACTGACTCTTCGACTACGATATTATTCAGCTGGGTTATTGCAATGGTAGCCATAGTTTAAACCCTTATTGAACAGCTGTTTGCAGAACATAAGTCTATTATTTCTTTAGTTTTACTGTCGTCAAAACAGCTTTTTTTCACCCCATCTCCACTTTGAGAGCATTTTCACACGTTTGTGGCGAGCAGCCCAACAGAAAACCACCACCAAAAAAAAAAAAAAAAAAAAGAAAAAAAAGGAAAGAAAAAGCCTAAAACTTAATGTATGCACAGAAAATTGTAAACATGTAAAGAACTGAAAGCTTCACGCTGAGTTTCGCCATGCTCCATTTCCCCACCATTTCCTGCTGTCGTTCTAAAGCGATCTCACTCATCTAGAGATCCCGTTTGCAGGAACAGTATGCTTATAATTACTAACAAATCAAGCGGCTACTGTTGCTCTCCCGGTTTATTGATAAGCTGAAGAGAAATGGAAGGGGGAGAAATGACAAAGAGGCTGGAAGTAACCACAGGAGGAGAGAAATAAAAAAAAAATAGAGGGAAGAAAAAGAGATAAAGGGATAGAAAAGGAGAGGGGGAAAAGAGACAAAGGAGGTAAATAAGAAAGATAAAAGAAGGGAGAAAGCAGAGATTTTGAAAAGGGGAATTATGTATTTGTGAGTGCTCACACACACGCAGCAAGTAGAGTTTGGGAGTGAAAGAAAATCGAACAGTTTCTGCTGGGGATGACAAGAACTAAATGGGATAAAGTGAAAGCAGGAGCGGTGGGGACGCTGCGTGGATACATGTGTGTTATTTTCTGTGTCATTTCAGCAGTTGTGGCAGTCCCTGACCAACTGGGGAAGTTGACATTGGCTAAAAATACACTGTGCATTCGGGTTTATTTACATAGGCGCAGGGATTTGACACATGCAGCCGCACGCACGGACGCGGAGATCTCCTCACCCACAAAAGCTCCACGTTCTGTTATCTCTGCTGATGTCTGGGCTGTGCCTGAAAAGCTCCAGCCATGATAAACATATAGATACGATATAGATAGAGATAATTCATTCCATGGCAAACACGTTTTTTTGAGGCAGCATTAGGTAATTTACAGAAGATATAGAGCCCAGATAGAATAGATCTCTCTGAAGCTATGAAATTGCAATAGATATGCTTACACCGCCTGGCAAGCCTCTCAGATGGGTTCAGAGCTATCAGGCTCCAGCTGATGGGTTTGTTCATCCCGTCCTTTTCAGGGAAACACTGCTAGGAAAAGAAGCCGAGGAGCTGTCGGCATAGCAGGGAGGGGAGCCAGCCTGCTTCCCAAAAGCAATTTGCAAAGGGGGGGGAAAAACCACCGAGCACGTGAAAATCCATAATTCAAAGGTTAACTAATGTAATGAGTGCTCCAAAAGGCCAAAGCGAGCGGGGTGAGGTACATTTAAGCATTGCTCGGGTCCTTCTCTCTTTAGTGAGTTTGGACTAAGATCAGATGTTCGTGGAATTGCTGCCTCTTGTTTAATTTCTCAGTTCACTGGACAGTGACCTGATAAACTGGTCACTAAATATAGCCACGGTAAAGGTGTACTCGAACCACAGAGCCCGTGTGCTTGTCCCAAGGAAAAAAAAAATGCCAGTCATGAAAATCTGTCTGGTGGCACTGCTTTTATCCAACTTTTTTTTTTTTTAATTTCTATTTTTTCTACCTGACGCTTCACTCAGACAGATCATTGTGCATGAAACAAGAGGTATATTTATGTATATTGAAGGGGAAAACACAAATACAATTTCTTGGTCTGCTGGTACTGACTCTGATATACAAACCAGTCTTTTCCTATAGAATCAATGGAAAAAAAATCCTAATAATATCAACGAAAGCGGGAGCGGGCCTCTAACTCTTTTATAACTATTTCTGAGCCATTCTCAAACTATTTGAAACCACCTTTATGAGCTGCATAAAGTGCCTAACTAAAAATAATAGAGAAATAGGAATCCATTTCACTTTCCGATTCCCTGAAGTCAAGCCACTCAAAATAATTTGTTTATACTGGAGACTATATACCAGGCATTCGAAGCAATATGTATATCTAAAATCGACATGCCTTTTGGTTTTTAGCTGTTATAGAGCTTTTATTGTGGGGGTCTGGTCTGGCAGTAGGAAATGATCTGCAATAAAAACAGTGAAACACGGTTGTGTCTATTCCATGCACTGAGGTTATAAAATTGGCAATTGCCCAGTAGTTAGCACTTGGTAATATATTAGGATACCCGATCTTATTGTTTAGCAGCTCCAGACGACTTAAATATCCGCTCAACCCTAATGGTTTGATTCTCCAGATATGTTGCAAATAAACAGGGCTTTTATGACTTAACTGACATGTATTATAACTACCTAAATAGCTGGCATATGTGCATAATAGAACCTTATTATTTGCCGAATTGGTTTTGCAATTGATTGAGTGGAAAGGGGAGATTGTGGAGCAGTATCTGCTTGAAGAGGGTGTGTAATCAATTAGTCTTCTCCTCTGAAACATGCCCGCTGGACTGCCAGGGCTCTCCCACCAGCGAAAGCCCCAATTTCAGCTTATATTTTCTATAAGGAAACTCGTGTTGCCGCAGATCCGAGAGGAAGCTGCAGTAGCAGCTGTCAGCTCTTATTAACTCCTGCATAAAACATACCTTAAGTATGGTTTGTTATCAATTACTTGCAGAAATGAAACAACTGGGAAAATGCAGCGAGGCTCCCTATAAATTAAAGTGATTGGGTGATTGATTAGAGCACCTGCTGTAAATCATAACAGTTACACACAATTATGAGGGAGTTATTTAAGTTCATTTGTAAACAAAATTCATGTCACGGGGGAATTGCTCTCAGTTTTAGTTCAACCAATATTTTTTTGTTTATTTCTGAGTGTGTCTGGTTGCTATTATAGGAATTTGTTCGTTATAATCCCTTGGTTACTCTTAAAATAACCTCACTGGTTTCTCAGAGAAAAGAAAAACTTATTTTTATCTTGGAGGGAACAACATGGTTTTATTTTGTTTAGTTTCACTTTATCATTCTCCTTTTACTTTTCCCTATAACTACCTTTAAATACGTGTTGCAGTAACTAAATCAGTTTTATTTAGGGGCAGGAGAGTTCCTTCTAATTCACGGACAGCACAATATGATCAGAGTGGAGAGCACCATGGTTAGACCAGATATTTTTTTCCTGGTGTTCATTTTTCTGAAGGAAAAGACTCATTTTATTTCATAAACTAGACTTAATAAAAACACAAAGCAATAACAGAGCTGTCTTCTCATTGCTGTATCCTCCAGCCTTGATACTTATTTAAGACAGCAACTCCCTTTGTGTAGTGAATTTATTCCTGGCTCAGCTTAGCAGTAATGGAAACATTAGCCAAAAAAAAGTAAATTTTCCTCTTTTTTTCCCCTCCAGAAAGGCGCTGTCCGTTGTACAAAAGGCATCGGGGGGCTCTGGGTGAGACACAGGCTCAAACCCGAAAGTTGCCAGGTGCTTGCCAATATGTATTTTATTTCCCAATGATCAAACCCTGCATAGAGGCTGTACTGTACCACCCTTCTCTCCATCCATCATCCATGGAGCACTTTCCTAGAGGTTGGGGGAGCAGCACCCTTTAGGTTGCTGGAGGTAGCCAGAGATTCAAAACTCCCTTTCATTTTGCTGTTCTGTGCATGTCAGAGAGACTGTGGTTACCCTGTGCTCCTTCGCGGCCTGATGGTTTCTCTCTCCCTTCCCTCCCCTTTTCTTTCTCCAGTTCCGGTTCCTCCAAAATCTGTTACTTCTTTGATGATGAATAAAGATGGCTTCCTGGGTGGAATCTCAGTCAATACCGGAGAGGTGTTCTGCTCTGTACCTGGCCGCTTGTCTTTGCTTAGCTCAACTTCAAAGTACAAAGTAACTGTGGGAGAAGTTCAGAGACGCCTTTCCCCTCCAGAGTGTCTGAACGCGTCCCTCCTAGGAGGAGTTCTTAGAAGGTAAGAGGCAAACGTGTGCATGTGTCTGGGCCTCCATGCATGCACCAGAAACCCTTGGTCAACTGTACAGGTGATTTCAGATGTGCATTGATCCTACTGTCAGAGCCTGTGCGTGTAATGCTGGTGATAAGGCAAAAATATGCTGTGTTTAAACATTGGGAAGAATATATGGAGAGTAGAGAAAGATTTGGCCTTGTTTAGCCACAAATGAAGGAACTGAGACAGAAAGACTTTCTCCTTGTCCTTGCACAGACCTTCTATCTTTTCTCCTCCTCACACTTCTCTCTCAGAAAGTGGACAAAATAAATGCCCTGATGGGCTTGTTTCAGGCTGAACTGCAAGTATTTCAGGAGCTGATGTATTTCTAGGGATTTCCTAGATAAACCCACGAGGTTTGCTCTGTATGGCAGTAACGATCAGGCAATTATGTCAATTATGACGCGTGGTGTCACACAAGAAATTGGCAGGGATCTGATAGGCAAACTGTAAGGTAGGCAAGAACCTGACTAAAGAAAAGCCACCAACAGGTAGCCCTGAAAGTCAGAAACTTTGTGCTTCATACAGAGAAAGTTGCTGCAGCTCACACCTGGTCTAGAGGCCTTTGCTGCTTAATGTTTGTGCAAATCACCCACTAATGTCCTGGTGGATTTTGAGGAAGACCTGAAAATAGTTGGCCATGCTGGTACTGAAGAAAGTGAGGAGCAAGGAATAACCTTGAGGTTGCCACTCCCTCATAAAGAGTGGGAGACTGGGCTTTTATGTAGAAGCAGCAAGAATTTAAGCTCTGAGGCCATTAGCTGGAAAGGCTAGCAGGGAGAAAGGGCTTTTTCTTCTTGGCAGTGCCTGAGGGACTGTGAATTGTCAGCTCGGCTTGTCTGTAAGAAAGGTGAGCTCAGGCTCTGTCTCCAGTCACAACAGGGGAGAAGCCACGAGGTTACAATATGAGGAACCAGTTCACACACTCAGGATGAGGGAGTACAAGATTTCATTATCTGTGTGTGAGGTAGACACCAGACTGGAATAAAAATCCTAACTGTTAAACAGAGACAGATGCATGCAAATTGACAATGAATAAACTTCAGATCATGTTTAAAAGTTGCTGATCTTAGAGGAGGAAATATCTTGAAAACTCCTATAGCAGCAACTGGCATACGTTGGCTCTAAGGTGCTTTAAAATAAAGTCGATGTTTGGGGTTCCCCCCTTGCCCCCGCAAAAAATTCTGTGATCGCGTCAAAGGCTCTGGATCCGTGTCTGGAGATGAGGGAGAAAGTTCTGCTGCATCTGGTCAGACCCAAATACCCACGTGAGAATTGGGGTCTCCTAAAATAGCTGCTGTTCCATGTGAATGTCTGTAATCATTGTTCAGCTGCCAGGGAGAGCAGCAGAGATTTTTACTTACAGATGCAAACCTGCCTGCTCCTTCTGTACAGCTACAAATGGAGCAGGGAGAACATCCGAGAGATGCTCTGTAGAAAATAGAATTACCAAGGTAAAGAAGCATTATTATTGGACTTCAGCAGATTTCTGGACGTGGCCCAAGCCATAATTATTGGCTGCTGCTGACTTCAGTTCCTATCTTGAATCTAAATTTTAAACAAGGTTTTGGTTCAGAGCAGATGAGACGTAGAAAGCTGTTCTCTTGCAATTCTGCCATCCAGCCCTATTTACTTCGATATAAAATAGTGGGAAGCCAGTCTGGCTTCTCTGTAGTTCCTGATTTCCTTTCTCTAAGTGCGGCTTCTAATTCTCAAAGCAAATTTTAAGTAAGAATTAGGACAATGTTGGGATAGACTTTGTTCTTAGGTGCCAAAACTCTCCCTAACTTCGCAGGTGGCAAGACTTCATCCCTGGGGGTTTACATATGTATGGGCGTTCGAACAATAGCTCTGAATTTCTCACTCGCCCTTTTATTGCCCTTATCAGTAACCTCCGACAGATATTCCAATCTTCCCCCAGGCAATCCATTCCCTCTTTATAACGCACCCTGCCTCAGGTGAGCTCTTCCTCTCAGCATCGCCTCCTCGCACAAGAACACGCTCACAGGAGGGAAACAGTTTAATAAATATCTCCCTCCTCTTCAATTTATCCACAGGCGCACACACACTCCCTTCGAACTTTTCAGATTTTTTCTTTAATCCCCTCGTCTTATTCTGGCTCTTTCCTGGAATAACAGAGGGTTTAATCCTCCTCTACCTTCCTGCCCATCCCTCTACTACATCTTAATACAAGTTGGCATCATACCCACCTGCTCTCTAGATCAGGACCTTTCCATTAATTATTACTGTTTGGCGTTCTTTGATTTCCCTGGATAAAATCGGGAGAAAAATGTGTTCATCCCCACTTCTACCCCTTGGGTGAAATTAAGAAAATCCCAGCAAACCCGAGCAGAAATCAACACCCCCAGAGTCCTTCACGTCGAGTGAAAACCCTCCCAGGCTTCGCTGTCTGCACAGACTAAACGTTTCTTCCAGGAACACTGCGGGGTTAATCACGATGTTAATTTCTTTGCAATTCTAGAGCCAAATCGAAAAACGGGGGGAGATCTTTGCGAGAAAGGCTAGAAAAGATCGGTTTGAATTTACCAGCCGGCAGGCGTAAGGCCGCAAATGTCACTTTACTCACCTCCCTGGTGGAAGGTAAGCCGAGGGTCGCAAGTCCCTTCACACCCCTGCTCTGAGCTCCTGTCTGACATTCACAAAGAAACCCCACAAAACAAACCCCAAAAACAAACAAACCATAAAACCAAAACAAACAAGCAAACAAACAAACAAAAAAAATCAATAAAACCACCAACTTTTGGGATCAGGTGGGAAAACCTTGCAGAGATGAAAATCAGGGTGGGTTAGGAGGAGCACCGTCGCGGGTAAGGATCCCATTCCCAAAAATGAAGTCACTGGCTGGAGGATCAGTGATTCCTCTTGGTGGCAAGAGTGAGGGAGCGTGTCCGTGTGTGTAGGTGTGGATATGTGCGTGTACATTTGTGTGCATGTGTAACTCTGCAGGGCAGTCCCACTCCTCGTCCTATTCATTTCCATTCTGTGATCTCTGACTCCAGATCTCCATCCTCCTGATAACTCGCTCTTCCTGAGCTGATTTATGGCCACCACAAGATGCTCAGTGAGGAAAAATAATGCAAAGTTACTTTTATCCCCCTTTTTTGGTAAGAAAGCAGAGAATTTAAGAGTAGCAGAGCTCGATTTCCCTTAAGGTGGCTGGAGCTGAACAAAGAGACCAGCTACTCCTCAGGAAGGAGAGAGGGAAGGGCAGAATGAAGTTTCAACTCGACTAATGTAATTTTGGTGGCCAGCGTGTTTCTTTGATTTGTTGTTACTGTATCGACAAGGAAAACTTGGAGCCACTAATAAGGGTTATGCGCGAGTTTATGCTAAGAGAAGTTGGACTTCCTCCAAAAGAAACCTGACAGGAATAGTATGGATGCAATTATGAATTATATGTATCTGCATTACACACACACACACACCGAGAGGTGTATAAATAATCCACTTATCTCTTCTGCGTATAAAGCGAGCACAAATATTTGCGCTATATATTAACTTTTCCACTCTTTTGATTGAGTTATGTGAGCGACACGACCTTGCCGCTTGCAGAGCTGGAGGAAGGCTCGCAAAAAGAGGGGCGGGAGTCCCTCCTCCCCCGAGAGTGCAAGGCTCAGGGTGGGTTACGGGGTGTAGCTATGGAAGGGGTGAAGCATTTCGGGTGCCCCTGAGCGCCCTGTTAGCGCAGCTTGACCCCCACGGCGTGTGTGGAACACCGTGCCCTCTGCTCGCAGCAGCACCAGCCCCTCCCCGAGGCTGGTGTGAGGTTCAAAAGCCGGCGGGGTTTTTGTGCAGTGATGCTAAAATCTGTGTCAAGCGTGCAGCAAGGTGTACATTCCCCTCCTCTCCCCTGATTCCCTTACAAATCAACAGTTTGCCTCCAGAGAGTTCCCTCCTTTTGGAAGAAGCTGCACATTATGGAGTTTTACCTCCTTTTTTCTTTTTTCTTTTTTTTTTTTTCTTTAATTTTTCACCTCCTTCCTGCCAGCAGCCAGGCTTAGCAGAGCTGCTCCTGCAAGGCCAGGAACAGGAGCGCTCCGGTCGCTCCCGGCCCGCGGTGCCCGGAGGCTGCCCGGGAGGAGCGTGCCCGGCTCGGGAACCCCCGCTCCAGGCTCTGCCGGGTGCCCTGGCCTTCATTAACCGGTTTGATGATTAGCGAGAGCCATTGGAGAGCAGGAGATGACGTTGGAAAGCAGCTCCGGATGGTTAAAAATAACGCGGTCCTGGAGTTATTAGACATACCTGCTTGCTGGAGATCTTCCCCCTCGTCCCTCGGGCGATGCTTTAAAGGGTTTAACGCTTTATTCTAGAGGGGCTGAGCTATAATCTGGTGGAATCCCTCTAGAGTCTGAGGGGTTTTTTTCCCCCCTCCTCTCTTCCTCCATTCTGCAGCTACTGTCTTCTTCTTGTGGCATGAAGTACATCAGTAGGAGTTGGATGACACAAACCTCTGTAGGCAAGAAACCTGAAACCAGGCAGGCAGGGAAAGTGAATTAGAATTAGAGTTAGAATAATAATTATTTTGTTCACAGAAAAAGTTGCCATTAGCTGTTATCTTTCCAGCCGGCAGACAAGAGTTCTTGTTGCATGATGGTCAGTTAAAAATGCAGATTTTTAAATTGCCATCGGGCTAAATGCAGTTATCTCCATAATTTTACAGATGTGGTGATAACTGTGATAATGATGCAAGTGCCCTGTGTGTGAATAAATTGTGTCTATAACGTCCCACAAAGAATTAACATTAACTAATTAATAATACATCCACATCTGTAAAATTTTGGACAACGATCTGAGGTATTGAAACAGGAATGTTTCTCTGCTCTTTAGAGAAGTTTGGGTCCTTAGTTTTTCAGGATTTGACCAGCTTCCTCTTGCATTTTTCCTTGGTCCAGTTAAAGTTTTGTGTGTATGTGTGTGTGTGGTGGGTGTGTGTGAGAGCTCTTCCCTCCGTTCTGCACAAACAGCTGATGGGTACAGACCCACACAAGAGTGCAAAGACAAACCCCATCAGCTCAAAATCTGTCCCATCGACTTCTGTCCCCCAAAATAGAGCTTGTGGGGGGAAAACACACCACTGGAACCTGTCCCTGAGGTGGAAGGGGGGATGAGAGGTTTCCAAACACGGTTCAGAGGAGCTGCTGTCCCCAGGGCAGCCGCGGGCTCCGCCCGGTGTCCCGGCGGGTCGGAGCCGCCCAGCCCGGGGCCGGCGCTGCCCGGAGGGGTAAATTCCCATCTCGTTCCCTCCAGGTGAGGCCGTTCATTTAGCTCGGGATTTTGGGTACATCTGTGAAACGGAGTTCCCAGCCAAAGCTGTTTCTGAGTACCTGAACAGACAGCACACGGACCCCAGCGACCTCCACTCCAGGAAAAACATGCTGCTTGCTACAAAGTGAGTGCCAAGTTTACTCTTGTCCTTCTGCCCTTCTCGGGGAAAATTCTCCCTGGCCTCAAACTCTTCCTCTGAGCCCGTTTGGAAAGCGGACGGAATTTCCAGGCTCTAAATTCCAAGAGCCCCGCGGGGAGGAAGGATGCTCAAATCGCCCAAAGGACCTCTGCACCCCTTTGCAGTGGGGATCCTGGCAACAGACCCTGCCGCTATAGAGATTATAGGGGTTGGTCCCCCAGCTGTTGAACATCACTTCCAAGCCATCCCCAGTTAAAGAATTTTTTATGTAAAATGTAACAAAAAGTTGTATTTTGCTTCCACAGCGTGTTTGTCTGTCCCTGCTGCTGCTCACACACACCTGTCTGTCTGCTACCAAATTGTAATGCCTTTCCCATACGATTTAATTAAAAAAAAAAAAAAAAAAAAAAGAAAGAAAGAAAGGAAGAAAGAAAAGCCCACCAAAATGCACTGCTAATTATTCTCGATTTGGCCCCCCCAACCCATTTCTGTCCCTTGGGACTTCCTCGGTGGGTGTGCTCTATGTGATGATTTACACCAGGTTGTGCCTCCCAGGCTGCTCACTGGGTGCTTCATGGTTTGCTTGGGTTCTCGGCAGTGGGTGCTGAGTGTTCACACATCTTTGTCTGTCAGGAATGAAAAGGGGGCAAAAAAAAAAAAAAAAATAAAGGAAAATCCCAGCCCAAACAGCTCTCATTTATTTCATGCTCTGGGACGTGGCTTGCCTCCGATGACAGTGTAATTTAAAGAAATATATGGAGGGTTGAAAAATCATTTGCTCAAATTTGTCCAGATGTTTCTTAGACGTGATTGGAATTTGATTGCCCTTTTCCGCAGGGTCAGAAGATATTAATGTCCCAGAACTTTAATTGCTCGCAGACCCTGCTTTGCTCTTTGAAGATGTAAAATGTTGGACTCATTACTGTTTGTTCTCCAAATTCAAAGTTTCCTCTCTTGCACTTTCTTAATGGATAATACACATAGAAGTAGACCTTTATCTTTCCTCACCCTCTGAAACCTTTAACCCACTGGGAATTTCAGAGAATTTCAGAGGATGAGAGCTGAATGTCTTTTTTAAGGGTTTCTTTTTTTTTTTTTTTTTTTTTTTTTTTTTCTTTTAATTCTGGTCTTTTTTATCTCCAGTCCCTGGGTAGGCACCTGTCTTTAAAAAAAAACTGATTCCTTTGGGTATCCTTAAAGAAACTATTCCTGTGGGAACTCCACCAGCCTCCAGGGTTTCTGCATTGCCCAGGCATCTGTTGACTTGAAGGTCTTTTGGACCAGAGTAATTTAAAATAAAATGTTTATGTGAAAATTCATCAGAAAAATCAAATCAGATTTTTCAAAGGTGCAGACAAACAACCAAGAGCCAGGTGTCAACTCTGATGTGGTAATTGGGGTGCCATGCCCCCAGAATAAAATGGGAAGTGCTTGCTTGGCTTCTCAGGCCATGAATAAGCCAGCATGGAATCCCAAAATCCTGATTTTTCTCAGTAAGGTGCCTGAGCAGTCTCAGAGGTTGTTTTAGCCCTTCCCTGCGCCAGGCCCCTGTGGCACCCAGTAGCTCTCAGTGCATGGCTGTGCTTTCCTTCAGAAGAGTATTCCTGGGAGTGCCTTGAGCCAGGGTCAGGCCTCCAGGAGGATGGGTGCTCAGCAGATCCAGGGCACATTTCCCTTTCATCCTGGTTGTTTCTGAAGGCACCAGGCAGGGCTGGGTTTTCACAGCGCTTCAGAACCATCACTTTAATCAGAACAATCATTTGAATCTCCAGAGCTGGTGCTATCCCCTGGAGAGCATCATTCTGAGCAGGGAGCTGCTGGCTCACCCTGGCTGGTCCCCAGGAACCTCTGGGGGAAAGGATGGTGGCAAAAAGGTCCCATCCCATGCCTTGGGATCAATTTTAGCCTCATCCTACCCCTCTGGTTGTCACAGAGAATTGCTGGATGAGCCTAACAACATCTCTTCTCTCTCTTTGCCTTTCTCTCTTCCCTGCAGGCAACTTTGTAAAGAATTTACAGATCTCTTGGCCCAGGACAGAACGCCCATTGGGAACAGCCGGCCCACCCCCATTTTGGAACCGGGCATTCAGAGCTGCTTGACTCACTTCAGCCTCATCACCCACGGCTTTGGGGCCCCCGCTATCTGCGCTGCCCTCACGGCCCTCCAAAACTACCTGACTGAAGCTCTCAAAGGCATGGACAAGATGTTCTTGAACAACAACACTGCTAACAGGCACACATCTGGCGAAGGACCAGGTAGTAAAACTGGAGACAAGGAAGAGAAACACAGAAAATGAGAGAGAGAGAGAGAGAGAGAGAAAGAGAGAGAGAGAGAGGAAAAAAAATTAGAATGAAAGAAAGGAAAAGAGAAAAAAAAAAGTTAAATAAATAAAAGGAGAAGAGAGAGAGATAATCTTTTAAAACAAAACCGTCTTAATTTTAGCTTTAAAAATACTGGATTGGGCTTTGGAAGAATTCTATTAGGTAGGACAAAATAATAATAATAATAAAATAAAAATAATAATAATAAAAGAAAGACGATAATCTAAGATCAGAGGAGCACAATGGCGCAAGACCAGTGGTTCAGAGTCTCTTGCCAGGAACATGTGAAGACAACCACCAGGATTTTTTTCCCCACTTCTGTTCTTTCACATTTTTTAAATAATGATTGGGGGGGAGGGGAATATAATAATAATTAATAATAATAATAAAAGAAAGAAATGAATAACTTATTGGAAGAAATCGGAGAAACATTTTTGGTGTCAGTGCTTTGATTTCTTGAGCTGCATGGTCTGTCTTGCTATCATTTTTCTTTTTTATTTTATTCTTTTTTTGTTTTGAACAACGTCCTGTCTCCACCTAGACTAAAACAATCTTCCAGAGTGTTCCTTTCTGAGCAACCCCATGGCCTCATCCCCCTCAGCTCTTCCCACCTCATCTCACCACCCTGGTTCTGTCTAGACTAGGAAAGGAGGGGAGCTCCCAGACCCCTCACCAAGCCATCAACACCAGCTGCCTTCACAGCAGCGTGAACTTAACTTTAGGTGCCACCAGAAGGGGACGTTCGGGGTCACCGTGGCTCGGTTGAATCTGCCAGCTCTGTTTTTTAAGAACTGTTTTGTGTGTCTTTTTCCTGGTCTAGACAGACTCTCTGTTTAGATTGGCAGCGTTTACAGGTGTGTGTGGGTGCGTGTGTGCCTCTGTGTGTGCATCTGTGGATGTGCACACCCGGCTCCCCAGAGGGGCGCGGGGATCCCACGTATGTTTGTGGATATATATGTATATATGTGGATATATACATATATATATATATATATAAAATATGTGTGCGAGCCACGCATATTAATGCATGCAAACATACCTTTGTAATTTAGTAATTCTGTCTTTGATGGTAAAATGCCTTGTCTATTATGGGTTGCAAAATTTTTGGAAGTAAGGTCTAGTACAATGTCAGCGCTATCTGATTTCTTAGTTTTCTGAGATCTCCTCTTTTTCTCTAGGGAGTTTTATATTCCAAACTATGCCAATGTTTCAGTCCTTAATTTCCTTGACTAGTGTGTGTGAGAGAGCTCTTCCCCCATTTTTAAAGAACTGTTAACAACAACAAAAAATGAGTGATATGAGTATGTAATTCTTTCTCAGGAGTATGCACTATTTTATTTTCTTCTGTTTCCTAAAGCTTTGCCCGCTTGGCTTATGAGCTTCTTCAAAGAGGACTAGAGATCCCTACACAATATATCAGGTACAGAGAAAAAAAATCCACAATTCTGATATTCTGATACTTTTTATTTTTTGCTTTTTTTGCTTTTTTCAAATCAAAGCCAGTTGTTACTGAATTCTGTAGGTGCACTTCTTTAAAGAAGCTCAAAGGGAATAATTTGAACAAGATAAAAATATAAGTTGAAATCGAGGTGTACTGTTGCAAAGAGAATAAGAGCTGTGTTGAATGTTACGGCACTTGCTTGGCACTAGGGTTTTGTACCCAGGGAGGAAAGAGTTGCCATGTGAGCTGGCTCCTCGTGATGGGAGTGGGGAGGGTTTGCCAGGGAATATCCTGATTTCTGAGCTCAGTCTGAGGAAATCTGTTTCTCTTAGAAAGCTTTTTTTTATTTAAAAAAAAATATCTTGTGACTCTTGCTTTGGAACAAGTCGGTGTGGTGAGGGGGGCAAAAGCTTCTTAACTCCAATGTTTTTCTTGGTGGTTTGGTGTCTGACAGGATGTCTTATGCATATGATTTGGGGTGGTGGGGGTGAAGGGGAAGTTTTATTTCTTTCCTCTCTCTTTGTTTTCTTTTTTCAACATACATTTCTCTGTCTTCTCTGGTAAAAATAACGCTGAAGTGTAAGGATATGAATCTCTGTTTGCATTCTGCCATGTCGGGTAATTGCATGTGTTTCTCAGTGGGGTAGGGCTTGTGCACTAACACATCTTTTTACTTATGTCAGAACTGGGTGTGGGTAAATCTCCTGGTGTCTCTGGCAAAATTCCAGTGGGGTCAGGCCTTCCCCTAGGATCCCTGTGAAAGCTGCAGGACACAGTCCCACCATCCCATGCAGGCACACCTGAACTCAAAACAAGAGAGAGAGAGAAACCTTACCCTTCCTTTCATTTTGAGATACCTTCCAAAGTGGATAGTGAGGGAGAAATAATTCTGCAATGCTCTCAGCATCCCTTGATGAAATGTTCTCAAAACAAAAGAGCAAACGATCCTCTTGTCCCCTTCAGTGCCCTTGGCTCTCTGAGACATGGTTACAGCTTGCTCTGCTTTTCAAATCTTCATGTAGCCAGGTCTCAGCTCTTGTTCTCTGCTTGTGATTTGGGCACATGTGGCAATAGAAATCCAGGGATCATCCAGCCCCTCCTGAGCTGCTCATCTAGCTTTAGTTCTTCTGGGGCACTGGGGGTTCTCCTGTGAGAAAATAGGGGAACTGAGGCAGGCAGCCTTCTCCATGGATTGTTGGGATGAGTTGGAGGCAGTCTTAGACCCTGGCATGTCCCTGCCAGTGGGTTTGGTTGTGACAGGGATTGTCACATCCCTGTGGATGACACCAGAGGAGGTGTGGTGGTCAAACCATGGGTCCCCCACCAGCAGGCTGGGGACTCTCAGACTGAAAAACAACATCCCCAGTCCTCCAAATCTTACCCCTTGCCAGCCACCCCAAAGTTCATCAGGCTTCTGGAGAAGGACAATCCAGGCTCCAATGGAGGGCATGGCCCAGCAATGATGCAAGGGAAAGGGAAAGAGGGAATTTGGGGAGGAACAAATGGCTCCACCTGGAAGCACAGCTCCCTTCTCTGCCTGATGGGAATCTCCTGTTTATAGGAGCAGAGCACTAAGTGTTGGATGTTCCTTTGCCTTGCCCCTGCAAACAGGATTTGTGGGTTCAGCCCTTCAGCATCACCCAGCCCAGTGGGGCTTCTGGGTGTGGGGAGACCCCAAATTAGCTCTCAGTCTTCCCTGCATGTGCAGGGCCATGGGAACCTGCCCCCTGCTGCCCCAGAGCTTCCAGCTGAAGACTTTGGGGCCATGTTGGGAATGGCCTTTCCTTGTGCTTGGGGAAATGGAGGGGATTCTCCTTTTAACTGCAGAGGACAGTGTCCCACCACCACTGTGGGTTAGTGGGGAGAGGGAGCTCTTGGAATTTCCTGAGGAAAGATTTGCATGTGCGAGGGCCTGATCCTGCTGCTGCAGAAATCTTCCCTAGACACAGGCTTGGTCACCTGGACCATGACCTAAACCTTGAGCAGGTTGAGGGAAGAGTTTCAGTCTGTCCCTTGTGCTTTCTACCTGGAGGAGACAAATTGCAGTGCTCAGGCAAGATAAATCCAAATGCCCACTGACTGCAGTGGGATGCCCTCCCCTCACTTGCTCCCCAAAGTGTGGAGACAAAATTCATGAGGTTTATGACTTAATGCAATCAGGCAGGGAACAGGAGAGGAGCACATCCCTCTGTCCTTCCCCCCAGCCCAGTGCTGGTCCCAGAGGGAATTGTGCATTGCTTGGTGGCTCCTATCAGTGCTGAGTACAGAGGTGCCCCCCAAATTAAACCCAGCCTCCCTCTGGAAGGTATTTTCCTGCTCCCCTCCACTTTCCCAGCCTGACTACTTCTGTTGGCGGGGCACCTCAGACGTTTATCTGATAATTGAGTTATTAAAAGATTTGGTTTCCTCGGGATCATGAATCAATAAACAGGAGGATTAACAAGGCAGCTTTGCTTTGTAACTCAAGGGAAAAGTTTGAGGAGAGACCATGAAAAGTTTGTTTTCAAACCAAACAGGTGGGTTGCTGTAAATTTTATTTCATTCTTAGTCTCACTTCTTTTTTTTTTTTTTTTTTAATACCAATTCTTTATTTGCCTTTGGAAAGGTCTTTACTTTCGTACGCTCCCTGACTTTTTTTTTTTCCCTGGTTGTTATTCACACAAGATGTGATGGAAACAAGAAGCCAGTTTCATGGGAATCCTTTTACAACCCGATGGTTTCTTTAAAAATCGGGTTGTGTCTTGTCCCACCTAATAGAAATTCTCTGTGAGAAGCTGTTTAAAGTCCCTTTGCACCCCAGACCAATCTCTCCCCAAATCCCCAAATTTGCATTTGGGGCTGGGAGGGAGCGGGGGAAGGATGGTTTTAAGACCTTTAGCTGTGCCCTAAGGGCTTATTCCCTTCTCCTGCTCCTCTCTTTCTGACCGGTTTATCACACAGACCTGTCCGGCTCTGTTTTAATACATTTCTCGGAGAATTTGGTGCTTGTTTCAGCTGCCGTAAGCATTTACCAGATCGACCCAGACAACCTCCCCCTCCCCCCGGCTTCCCTGTGTGAGAGAGACCGTAGGCTTTTTACAAATAGTATATTTTCTTATACAAAGGGAAAAAAAAGTAAAAGAAAACATCCCCAAACACACTGGCAAACGCCTGAACATTTCGAGAGAGACGAAACACTGTGTGCCAGCAAGAAATAAAGGCAAAAAAAAAAAAAACCAAACCCAAACAAACGCAAAGCTATGAAAAAACGAATGAGAAACTGGAAAGATGAAAGATAAAAATAATAAAAAAATTCTCCTTTTATGCCCCAAACGATCCCTTTCACCTCCTCTTCTTGAAAAATCTGACCATGCAGTGAGAAATATCAGTTTATCGACTCTTCCTGAGAAGAAATGCGGAGAGGCATTCAGTATTGAGTTTGTATATATTTATTTATGCTTAATTTAACGGGAATGTGTAAATATGGCGAGCAAGTAGTTTTTGGGTTATTTATCTGTGACTCTATACCTCTGTGAATGGGTGGGGGAATTTAAAAATGAAAAGTATAAAAAAAAAAAAACAAACAAAAAAGAAAGAAAAAATAAAACCAACAAAAAAAAAAAAATCCCGCTTGACT